GAGCTATAAGCGGGGATTAGTAAGGACATTGTACGACAGGGCCAGGAAGTTATGTTCGCCCAATAAGGTAGAAGAAGAATTAAGCTTCGTTGAAAAATGCCTTAAGGAGAACGGGTATCCAAAAGGATTTATCCTAAAGTACAGCAAAGAAAGAGATGAGAAAGAGAAGTATCCAACAGTTGAAAAGAAGAAAGTGTTCATTTGCCTCCCATACAAAGGAGAAACAGTATCCAAATAGATTGAAAAGAGGATGAAAGGAACAATAAAGAGATGCTTCCCTTCAGCCAATCTTGTGACACTATACAGTACTACATGCTCTATAAGGCAATCGAAACTGGATAAGTACCCTGATTATGTTACCTCCAACTGCATTTAAAAATTTACGTGCACCTGCGTCAGCAAGTACATTTGAAGGACAGAAAGAAGGGCAGATTCAGAGAAACTTATGCTTAAAAGGAAGCAGATATTTACAAAGTACAATTACCAGACACCTTGTGGATACAGGCCATTTTGTTGAGATTTCCAAATCTTTCGAAATATTAAACATACAAAGGACAGAGAATCTACTACGATTTGCTGAAGCAATTGCAATCAAACGTCTCAGACCAAACTTATGCACACAGACAGAGAGAGTGTAGTCAATCTCTCACTCCCTGGTAATCATATCACTTTCATTACACTGATTACTCATACACACTAGTGAGCTCAACTCACTAAGCAAGTTTTCAAAACGATGAACTTTGACCTTGTTGAGTTCCCATGTTGACACTGTTTATTAGATTTTTCTGTTTTCTGTCTTCTCTCACCCCCCTTTTTTTCTTTTTTTTCATAGTTTGATAGTATATAAATTGATGGTAACTTAAACTATAAATTTTAATCCTTATATTCCGGATGCGTTCATCTCATAATGTTTTCTCTATTACCTTTCAAACAATGAAGCATGAAATGTTATTATTTATAACCATTGTAATTTCAGGTAGTTTGCAGCAGATGATGAGAACCTGTGAAATAGAATGATGGTATCATTTTATACTGCAAATCTGATCTTTCCTTCTCTATCGAAATTTATCAAGGGAACCAAATGTATAAACACTTATTCTTACTTACATAAATTCACCCAATCACTCCGACCAAGAGTGTAGACGGGCTCGGATTCCAATTTGATGCCTTCCTAGACCACGCCTTTTTTATTAGGCTGGATCTAAGGCCAAGGATTGCAACTTGGAAAGTAGAATGAAGTTAGAGCAAAGCGGCATTCAAATCACTCAACATCCTAATGACCTAATAATAGTCTCATCGTTGTCTCACTAATACTTCTAGTAACCCTTGAAAGCTTCATATTATTAGAATAAAACAAAAATCTAACAGTATTTCCACAGTTTTTTCTTAAGAACATAATACTGATATTTTTTAGCTCAGATGGATGATTTTTCTTCCATGTAATTGTGTCTGGTATTCCTACAAAATTCTACACCAGTCTATTCTAGGGCTGATACATTCCATAAACTCACGGAATATATACATTGGGTCATATGAACAATGAAAAAGTCGATTGACAACAACAAAGAAGTACATGCGGTTATGAAATTCACATGCGAAGAGGAATCCCAAGACAGAACTGCCTTCCTAGATGTCCTACTAACAAGAAAACCAGACGGTAGCATAAAAAGAAATTTGCACAGAAAAAGTACATGGACAGGACAATATACACACTTTCACAGCTTCGTTCCTATCAACTACAAAAAAATTTAGTGAAGACCCTCAGCCACAGAGTTAGAGCTATATGCTCAGAGGAAGTAATTGGAGATGAATTAAGCATTGTATATGATACTTTGATCGAAAATGGATATCCAGACAAATTTATCAAGAAACACATGACAAAGAAACCGGAAAAGGACTACTAATTGTCTTTAAACAAGAAGCCTTGATATATACGACCGCAGTTCATGGATGATATACCAAGCGAGATAATCACGAAGACATTAGGAAAATCAGTTCAAGGAACTTTTAATGCTGGCGAACTACACGTCTTATTCTCTACACAACTGATGATGCTACCTCGACTGAAAGATGAAGTACCTAGACTAGACTAGCTACTTCAAATTGTATCTATCAATTCAACTGCGCTTGTGGAGCGAATTATATTGGCTGTTGCTCTGGGAACTTGATTTTTCGTGCTCGAGAATATCTCCCACTATGCCTAAGTAAAGGTGTTGTGAAAACCATCATCAACTTTTCGATATTCGACCATCCGTTGCAAACAAGCCACAAAGCCAGTGTGGAAGAATCCTTCTCTCTCATCTACCGCGTGCCTAGTTAATTCCCAAAATCATCGGAATACCGCATGTTACAATAGCAGAGTCTATTGCAATTCGCCTCAAACAACCAGTGCTCTGTGTTCAAAAGAAGCAAGTTCAGCCCCTACTACTGACCTGGCTGGCCTTCAGTAGAGAATATAAATTCATGAATTTGTAATATTATCTTTCCTAATTTTTCTGACATTCAGTTTATTTTTTTGTTGATGCCGTTGAACTGTAATCCATTGATACTATTATTATTGATTCGATGTTATTTAAGCATTAATGTTGTTCATAACAGTAATTCCTTCATTCACTATAATGGATGGATATATAACTGTAGAGCCTGATGATGAAGAGGTTATCGACAAGAGTGCTCTTTGTTCAGTATCCATTCTTTTGAAAAATGTTAATGGGAATTTTCAATCAGTCAACGAAGAAAATCTTCTTTTCAACGAAGTCATCGTCACCTAGGCTGTACATTCATGTAGTTATAGTGTAAATGACTGAAAATGTTCAAGAACTACTCCTGTATCGTTTAGAGGTAAAATTATTACAATTACAGAGTGTAATAAATATAAAGATCGGATAAGAAGGGTAATAGGATAATCATTATTGAGAGGAATGACGTTTTTATGATGGCTATGGTAGGGAGAAGTGTTGGATGGATTTTTTTTTGAATACTTAACGCGCGTTTAAACTTTTGGATTGCTTGTGCCTCAGATGCCTTGATTTCACTCAAATTGAGGGGTCTGATTGGTTCTTGTAAGTGACTTTGGAGGACTTTTCAAAAGGAGTAGAGTGTCCTGAAATCGCCAGATGTTCTGTTCCCGAGGGTGTTTTACAAGCGGAAGGATGAACGTTTAAAATCACATACACTTGTGTTTAACCATTCATACCCTACAGGAATAAGGTCAGTTGTCAACATTATTAGCTCAGTGACAACTTGTCTGAGACAGCAGCGCTGCTTGGCACAGATTTGAATCATAGAGAGGAGATTGCAAATGGGGATAGTCAGGGCAACCACCTGACTTCAACAGTAATAGTGAGTCTCTCAGCAAGTCTGACTGAAAGAACTCAGTCAGCAATCACACAAATGAGTGGAAATATGACACCACCTATTAACAACATATCAATGTCAGCTAATTAAACACGATACCCTGAAAAATGACGATAAATGGTAACTGTTGACATGTGTGGTACAATTACGAGTAAAGTCACGGACAGTGGAGCAGAGTATGTCGGGTGTGAGAACAAATACTCGCCGATTACACTGGCTTCTGGTCGCGCTATATCGTAAATGAATCGGCAGAAGTTGAAACTCATAGACCATTCGGTCGGATACCAGCTGGACTGGATGGCCTACAAGCTGGCCTTGTAACCAAAAGGTTCTGGGTTCGAACCCTGGCACTGGGTGCATACTGATGAAGAGCCTCAAAACTGAGACGAAACAGTTGGCTGTCCAGTACCTCGCGAAGGTTTTCCAATGGTTCTCTAACCGATGGCAGTTCCGACATGAAATCCTGAAAAATGCTACTTTGTTTATTCATTGATAAAGCAGTAAAATGTCCACCAGCCACTTGAGATGGGGTTTTGGACTTCAGTCCCCAGACGACAATGTACTCCTAAGTATATAGAAAATCAGCGCACATAGATCAAATACTCAATTATACTAGCAATAATCCAATTACTCACTGGAGAAACTGTGTGCAGACATTGTTTAAAAGAGTTCAAACATATTGTAGCACTCCAGAGTTGAAAAGAATGGAAGAAAAATACCTACAAATGGTCTTCAAAAAGAATGATTATCCACAAAATTTCATCAAAAAGTGTTTAAAGTCGAATCAAAACAACAACAAGAAACCATCATCAAAAACCACAAGAAAATTCATTCTACCATACATGAGAAATATCTCTGAAATAACAGCTAGAATACTGAAACCCTTTGATATAGATATAGCACACAAGCCTGTAAAATCGCTTAATTCGATAATATGCAGACCGAAAGATCCAACAGAAAAAGGAGATAAAATTAATATAATTTGCAAAAGAAATAGTATGAACTGTAACAAGCATTACATCGGCCAATGTGGGCGTCCCCTTCGAATTAGAACCCATGAATGCATATAGACAATTATGGTCATCAATTTGATTGTGATAATGTCAAAATCTTAGACAGAGGAAACACTAAAAGTGCAGTCAGGGAATTCCCATAAGCCTGGTACTCAAACGAAAATGCAATTAACAAGCACTTTAACATAGACGAAATATACCAACTAATAAAAAGTAAATCGGGTGACCAGAAAGTTTGAAATCTAAGTCAATAGAAAATGGTCAACACATATGTAAAGATGGTTACCGAAGGAGACGCAATTATATCACTCATGAAGAAATTTAAATCATTACACTCTATGCTAAATATTGCACTGAAGGGAGATGTTGTCCAGAAAGACGAAGAAAGCTCCGCAACTAAATCAACCAGCTCAGAGAACACTATTAATTGCAAACTCCTAAACCTTGCTGCTTAGCTAGTAGTAACCTAGGTGAAGAAGGATAGTTAAGCTACTGAAACGTCAAGGCTCTAGCTACAAGACCTATATTCCACTGGGGACGCAAAGTAGTTAATAATAATAATACTAATAATAATGAGGGTACTATTCAATAAACATTTATAAATCATATACATTTGAAATAAATGCTTACCATCTTTCCAAATATATTTCTGTGCTTGACGTAAAATGAGAATACTGGTGTTTATCACTGACACAGTGTATTCTAGATGCAAAACGTGAATCCTCTGGGGTAAGACTGACAGTTAAGTATGTAAATACTGATTCTATATGTATATTTATAGATGTATATATATCTTTAAAAAATATATTTATATGTATATCAGTAGAATCTAGAAACTCAGCACCCAATTTACTTTCCAATCGTCACTGTGAATAGATTGGGGATAATTTTTTTCTGACCAATCACAGAAATTCTTCTTTTAACATTACTCATAAGGAAAACAACCTGATTGGATTATTTTGCTGATTGTTAGAAAAACCTTTAAGTGAAACCTACCCTACTTTAGTAGTAGAAAAAAGAAAACAGATTGAATTATTCGTACACAAGTGAAATATTTAGTTTAACGGTTAGGTTATCAAAAGCACACCTCAACTACCTCCCCGTCTTTTTGACATTAAACTCAATCCACTCCACTATTGTATACGAGCTTTCATTTGCCCTTCCCACTATCTTTTTCAAATCATTTCCACGTCTATACTGTATTTTTGTCGCCTCCCATTCGATTTCCACACATTTGTTGGCTCTTGAAGACCTCATTAGTTTGTGTCGCTTTTGCTGCAGCTTGCTTCGAGAACTCTTTATCAATAGTGACTGGCGATTTTAACTCATGCGATCACTCCTTCCTTATATCACTTGGTCATGATAATATTGTTAACTTTGCTACTCATCTTGCTAAAACACTAGATCTAGTATTCATCAATGATGTTATCCTGTACTGAACTCTGACCACTGCATCATACGTGTACTGCCTAAAATAAACTCCAAATCACACAAAGGTGTCTTCTGTTACCTCTACAGTAAATTTCAACGGAGATGCTACTCACAAGACAACCTAAGCAAGATCAGATGCATCTTGAAAGAGACTAACTGGGACCTATTTACAGAACAAACATTAAATGACACAATCACAAACACTACAGATTATCTTAAATTCTGTTTCGAAATATGTTGTCCTAAAGAAACATTATTCACTCGACTTGACCGTTTCTCTTCTCCATATCTCAAAAAGCTACGTAGAGATAAAGAACTGTTCTTCAAAACAAATGATAAGTCAGGTGTAAAAAAGTTAAATACCCTGATAAAACTCGAAATGCAAAGACTAAATGTTTTATATAACGCAAACAGGATCCTGGGCTAAGAGTTGGTTGCATTCTTATTTATCTGATAGAATGCAGTATACTGCATATAATGGCAAATCTTCTTCTGCTTTGCTTACAAAAGCCGGTGTTCCTCAATGTGCCGTCCTCTCTCCTTTTCTTTTTTCTTTCTTCCCACACGACCTGCCTCATTTAAACGAAACTAACTTCGTCAAATATGCTGATGATCTGACTGTATCACCGCCTATCACTTCCCAGTCTCCTCCAAACTTAGTAGCGTTCCGTTGGAGATCAGCAAGTGGTCTAAGTCAAATGGTCTTATGTTAAATCCTTCCAAATGTCAGGCAGTTAACTTTACTTTCAAGCATCGACGTGACATTCATGAACTAGTTAGTTCCCATGATGCCTGTAGCATAGATGGTACAGAAATTGAAACCAAGTCAAGCATTAAATACCTTGGATTAGTTCTTTCCTCTGACCTTTCATGGTCATCCCACATCTTATCAATCTCTAAGAAAATGTTTCGTCTTACCTTCTACATTAAAAGGTTAAGACAATCAGGTATCAACCAACCTTTAGTTCTGCAATTTTTAAACTCCTGTATTTTACCTATTGTACTCTATTGCTCTCCATTAATCTTTCCTGGGCTTCTCAAAAAGGACTATATCATATTACAAAGGGTATTAAATGCTGTGAGTAGGGCTTGTGGTTTGCCACTTCGTGAGCTCGCCAATACTACAGTCGAGAGACACATAAATTCCTGTACGAAATGGGCAAAGGCCATACTATCAGACCCTCTGCACCTCCTTTATTCACAACTGTCCCCTTGTATCTCATCAAGTAGGACGAGAAGTCAATATAAAAAGTCATATTCTCGAACCACCAAGTACAAAAATTCTACAATACCGTATTTAGCCCGTATTTTATGTGATGAAGACTCTGTTAGACGTGAAACATATAAGTTACTATGTAATTTGCAAAGTGAATCGACCCTTTTCATTGTTCATATTTCAGTAATTTTATGGTGTCACCCTTTCTGTCGTTTTACTTCATTTTTTTTTTTTAATTGCTACATAGCTGCAATAACAACGTTTTGTTATTATTATTATTATTATGTAATTCTTTTTTTGTCGTTTTGAGTAAATTAGATGCAATATTGTACTGAATGCTGAAAATTCCTTGCTGTATCATTAGTACTGTTTTTGGAATAAAGCAAAAATATTATTATTATTATACGCCTTCATATCGTTCTGAATATTTGTCGAGCACAAGGCTGTTCCCTGGTGGCACGCGTTTCAAATCTCTGAAACATTTAGAATCGGTGACTTGACGTTAGTGCTTAAAATCGGAATGTTGTTCCTTGTAGTTACTGATATGGACCATCACGCCGGTTTCACAGTGATAAACCCCCACCCTTATTTTCAAACCCGACATTATTTATCTTTGACAGTCTCATCCATGTTGTCTGTAGTTGGGACAATGCTACCTAGGTAAGATGAAGTGACGACTTACCTTACTTCGTCTCCATCGATGGCGACTGGTACTGATTGACAGTTATTTTCTTTAGTGTTTATCTTAAATCTTATCTTCGCTGAGTTCTTGCGAGACCATGCGTCTCTCAAGAAAGTTTTAGTCAGGTATTAACAAGAACTCAAAGATTAGTTCCAGAGTTCCGACTCCAACTGTAACAGAGACCTAATTCTCCTAAAAAACTATATTTCATATGAATTCGAATAATACAAGAACAACGGTTAGTTGTGCAGAATAAGATGGTACCACCGCTGTTTATTTAGTTGGTTCCTCATCATCTGCGTAACACCCTGAAGATATTATAAGGAAATAACGGCATACCTCCGACTTTCTGAACATGTACCAGAAATTCTATGTCTCAAGGCAACAAACACATTTAAGAGTACAATTGCCATGCATCTCCTTGATGTGGGTCATGAGTTGAACATCTCAAGAGCTGTCAAAATTATCAATAAACAAAGTAGCTCAATTCTCTTCAAGTTTGCCGAAGTGATTGATTCCTATCAAACGCTTGAAACCTGATTTATGTGTTCAGAAAAAACAGCGGTTATCATTCAGTTTTTCCTTACCCTGATAACTGAATGTCTTTACTCTCCCTCTTTGTCGTTCATTTGATTATCTAATCTTTCGCCTTAACCTTCCCCTCCCTCGTTTTTGATATAGTGTAGTTTTGCTTGTCTCTTGTTTCTATGATTTGAGTTGAACTCACTGCATTGTTAACCAATCTATTAGTTACTCATCATCTTACTCATCTCTCGTCTTTATTATGCAACGCCTTTACCATTGGATACATACCTTTACTTTCCTTGGACTTGAACTGCCTTTGAAAAGACTACATAAGTGTAATTCTCTGAGCACTGTTCACTTAGTCCAGAACCATCTGTCAACTGACATCATGTAAAATTTGCGAGTACGTTAAGATCCTTTCTGTACATGAATTTAATAATTTAACTGGGCTGTAAGCAGTTGATGAGAGGCCAACGAAATAAACAATGTGATGGTACCATCTTATTCTGAGCAAACCACTGTTGTTCCTGCTTCATCTATATTCATATTAGTTATTAGTTTTCTCAGCAAGCATAGACCACCTCTTGAGAAGACAGCTTCTGTACCAAAGAAACCTATCTTTATTAACCTATCATTCAAAGGTGGCTAGATTATGCAGTTGACAACTAGCTCAAAAACGTCGGTCATCCATCAAGCGCACACATTCTACGCCGAATCTCTTTCCCTCACATGCCGAACATTTTCGATCCCTGTACCTACGATTAAAGAACGAAATTCTGTGGACTTTACTTCAAACTGTATCTACAAGTTCACCTGCAGTTGCGGTGACACACACACATATATATAGGTAGAACCAATAGAATGTTCCCATGTCGCAATCGTGCAGATTCTATGAACAAAGATGCAGTAGTCGACCTCAGATTCCTTTATTTTTTTTTGATTTACAGCTTGATTCCATACCGTATTTTCAGTACAAGTGCGGAATTTTCAGCATGAATATCGGTAGCCCAAATTCAGGCCGACCATAGATATCGGGTGTGCGCCGGCAGGGGATCGAACCCCGGGCCATGTGCATGGTCGGCGAGAGTCCTAACCACTGTGCCACCGACGCACAGGACCCTGTTGATCCAATTAAACAAAATAATATAATTTACAAAATAAGCTGCAATGACTGTGAGTTAGGTGAACTACATAGGTCAGATTAGTAGATCAAGGGTAGTCAGCTTCCCTGCCAGAGCATAAGAATTTAGTTAAGGTTAGAATGACTGACCCCACGAAGATAAGTAATTTAGAAAAAAGCTCAGAAATTGCACTTCATGCATTAACACACAACCAAACAAAAGGGTTGGAGAGGATTGAAATTCTAAGAAGTAATATAGGTAGATGGATATAGAGAGAGGTTGATTGCTGAATCCGTCTTCATCGAGTCTGCACCCGATTCGTGCAATAGGAGTGACTCTTCACTCATACCGGAAATATGGAAAATACTACTATCAATCAAATCAAGCGATGAAAAGTAATGGAATTATATAAACGAAGTTAGTAAGTTATGTGAGTAGTGCCTTGATATGATTGTTAGTGCCATTTAACTGTATAACAACACTGAGTGAGACATTATCGAAATAAAAATTTTATCCGCAGTGGAACTGAATATGTTACCCTACCCTACGTACCCCGGCGGGTGCATACTGTTGAAGAGTCCCAAACTAGGCTGCCGAAACAGCTGTACAGTACTCCCGCGTGGTTTCCAATGGTTCTCTAACCGACGTCAGCTCATGATGAAATCCTGATTTTGTTTTAATTATTCACTTATGTGTCCACATCGTTTAACTTTCTCTCGCGATCTTTTAAAATCTTATAGCCTGGCTGATTTAGCAGTTTCTAATAAACTATAGTAAAACGTGCTCCAAAGGATCGTATAACTGACTTTTCCTGTGATTATCAGCACAAATTGCAAGGTCATCATCGAACAAGA